CGTCGCGCGCCCCCACCGCCGCAGCGGCGGCATTCGCCTCCGGGGGACAACGACGTGCAGAAGCGCCAAATCCGCCCTCCCCTTCGCAATTGGGGAACCAGGCACGCGAAAAGGGAACTGATCCAGCAAAGGTCACTCCGCACACCAGAGCCGGGGCTGAGCCCACGTCTCCCCGAGCAGGGCTGTGCCCCTCGGGTGGCCCTGCGGTGGGCTCAGACGGGCGCTGTGCCCCTCGGGTGGCCCTGCGGTGGGCTCAGACGGGCGCTGTGCCCCTCGGGTGGCCCTGCGGTAAGCTCAGACGGGCGCCTTGCCCGGCTCACAGCGGTTCTCCACCCCCAGCGAACGCCAGTACGCAAGCTCAAAAACTGCCAGCGCAAACGGCATCACCCACATCCTCCAACGAGCCACCACAAGGCAGAAGCAGAGGAAGCAGCTTCTCCTTCGCGCTGCCGCCTCGCCGCTTAACTCTTTAGTGCTGCCTTTCGTGGGGGGCGGCTCTAACGCCGCAGAAGGGCTCCTGTGGGTTCACTCGAGCGTCGGGCTCAGCGGCAGGAGGGAGCCCTGTGCCCTGCGCAGACAGACGGGCTCTGAACTGCCTCTGCGGTTTCTCCAAAGAAGAAAAGCAGAGCAAAAAGAGAGGAGGAATTGGTCCTGAGCCACGACCCAATCTCTCACTGCAGAGGAATGGGTTTAAAGTCCCTCTGTGAAGAGCTGGACTGGAGGGGGGACATGCTCTGCTGCGAGAGGCACCCCGTCCCCAAAACCGTCCGCTTAAGCCTCTCTGAAAACATCGCCAGCCATGCAAAACCACCGATTAGTTAACATGCCGCTCCGCTCCGGGTGCCGCTTACAAATTTCAAAGCAAGAGTTTCCACCTAACCACAGCCCCACCTTCGCTGCAGGCTATGCCCATCGCATCCTGCCTCCTCCACCCAGAACAGTCCGTTCCTGTCCTCTTTCATTCCCCTCTCTGCTGGAGAACCTGCTGCTCTGCCCACCCCGGGCCAGGGCTTTTCCAGGGAAAAAAGGGAATCCCTTAACCCTGACCCCGAGGGACCCATCCAGCAGAGAGCACCCGTGGGCTGATCAAACGCTGCTCTTTGCTTGAACTTCACAGGTGCTAATTGGCTAGGACAGACGAGGCTGGATTTACACGCTTCGGGAGATGGATAAATAAACATTACCTTCAGGTCGCGTGCTTTGCAAGCGTTGGAAACGTTTCCCTGCTGTAGAAAGGTTTCCTCGGCTCAGCAGCACTGGGCAGGTCTCGGTCTCGGGGGGACACGGCTCTCCAGCACCCATCTCCCCTGTTCTTGCTTGCAGCTGCCGGAGCCCATTATGCCCTTCCGCATGTACAACGAGCTGATGGGTCTGGCCAAGGAGAGCTTGCAGGGCGGCGAGGCCAAGGGCAAGAGCGGGAAGGGGGGACCTGAGCTGGTGGACAAAGGAGCCGACACAGACAAAGTGGTGGTGAACCTGGTGGTGAAGCTGAAGGAGCTGCTGAAGGAGCTGCCCTTGGAGAACATGGCCACGCTCCAGTACCTCCTGCAGCACCTGAGAAGGTGAGAGCAGGTCCAGCGCCCGTGTGGGTGCTGGGGGACCTTCCCTCTCTTCCCTCGAGTGGGACGGGACAGCCCAGCCCTTCCCAGGAGCGGGGAGGTGGATCCATGGCTGCAGCTAATTCTCTGCTGCCCACGAAGCTGGTGTGTGCTGCGGGAGGAGACTCCTGCGCTGCCATCCCGGCGTCTCCTCCAGCCTGGATGTGCCAGGCTGGGCGAGCTCTGCCCGTCCACCCATCCCTCCTCCCTGCTTGCTCTCACGAGTTCCTCCTCCCCCTCCTCCCCAGGATTGTGGAAGTGGAACAGGACAATAAGATGACCTCAAGCAACCTGGGCATCGTCTTTGGGCCGACGCTGATGCGCCCGAGGCCCACGGATGCCACTATTTCCTTGTCCTCCCTGGTTGATTATCCTCACCAAGCTCGCATCATCGAGGCGCTCATCATCTTCTACTCGACCATCTTTGAGAACAAGGAGAGCACGGCGCTGGCCGACTCCAGCAAATACACCGCAGGCAGCAAGGAGGAGGCAGCCAACTGCCCTGACCTGGTAGGAGTCTCTGGGGAAGGGATCACCCTTAGGGGATGCGGAACCTTCCAAGACAGCCCACGGGCGCTTGCAACCTGGAGCAGACCAGCTGGGGCAGACCCTCCGGCAGCCCTAACGCCCCCCAGCCCCCTCCTGACGGGTCCCTGTCCTCCTCCTGCTCTGCCCCGCAGATTGCACCAGGGACATTCCCCGTCCTTGCTGTGCCGCACGGGGGGACGGGTCTGGCCAACGCTGTTGCCTTTCTCTACGTAAACCCGCCTTGCTTCGTCACGTCCCCCCCGTGCATCCCCACTCCACTTGCGAGTGATCTTCTGCCCCAAAAGAGCAGTGTCCGTAGGTGAGACAGGCACGGGGTGGGAGGATGGAGCCCACACGCTTTGATACCGGGACAAAAAGATGGCGTTTCTCCACTGAGCGTTTTCTGGAACTGTGTCGCGGTGAATGTTTCCTTCTCCTCCGTGCTCTCACCGCTGCACCTCTTCCTCCCAGGCCAGCGCAGGCTCACAGCGCGCAGCTCCTCCCGGCAGCGTCCCCTACCTGGAGCTGCCTCCGGAGAAGGGGAATTTGGGTTACAGCGCCGGCTCGTTCGCAGGTAAGCGAAAGGCACCCGGTGGCTCTTCCCCAGTGGGCGCAGGTCTCTCGGGAGGTTCGAGGTGTGTCACCGGTGGCAATAACACAAAGCCCTTCCCCTGTTCTGAAGACCACACGTGTGCTGAGCAAAGCTGCTGGTGGTGCGGCGGTGCCGGGTGAGGGCACGGGGTTACACACACAGTGCTCCTTCTGTCCCGCAGAGTCTGGCGACCGCTCCGTTGACTCCGACTCCGAGCTGGAGGACAGCGGGGAGCTGCTGGCCGCCGCGGAGGGGGGCCCACGAACCCAACTAAGCAAACAGGAGAGCGAGACCAGCACAGACGAAGCTCAGTTCTGTGACGAGGGGAGCGAGGGGCAGCGGAGCCGGAGCTGCAGCATG